AGAGAATTCCAGCTCAATCAGGGCATCAAGAAACATGGGTAGTGACAGACTACAACCTCACTGCGTTAGAGAGCAGAGCAGCACACTGGCTAATTCTGCCAGTTCACAGAAAATACCATGTTCCAGCGCCACCATCACGGGGCACCAGTTGCTTCTGCCTGTCGGAGCACGCAGGAGTGGGATCCTAAGTTAAGGAAGAGCATCAGAAGGCGATTTTTTTTTCCTTTTTCTGTATTTTGCAACTCCACCAAGGAGGCAGGGAGGGAAAAGACTAAGACTGAAGATTTTGAGACAGAAACAAGGCAAGATAGTATGAACACGAGTTAAACTTTCCCAAGGAATGAAAAATAAACCGACGCATGTTCTCTGCCTCATTAATAGAGAGGGCTTCTATAAATACAGGCATATATAGCTCATGCAGTTTACCCAAACAAGATAAGCAGCCCCGGACAGAGAACCCATCAGCAAACTTTCAACCACCAAACTGAAGGGGTCAGGGGCGTTGGGGGGCGGGGGGGCATTTTAAGGAACTGGGGCCCAGGGAGAGCAAGTGAAGGCTTGGGACATGACGCAGCAGAGACACTACTTCGTACAGCGTTGTTTATAATTATGTTCCTTATAACCTGGGAATTAACTGGAAGTTCAGGCAGTTCAGTCATACAAGCCCTTGTCACCCTAACACTCAGATCCTGGTCAGAAATGTTTTTATAAGTCAAACATTTCAAGTGCGAGGGGTCCGCTTCTTCGTTATGGGTGAAGAGCGGTCAACGACCCAGCAGTGCCTCTTGGCCGACCTCCAGCCTAGCCTGGCCGAGGGCGCCTGAGGTGGGAACGCGGGCTGCCGCGTCCCTCCCGTCTCCAGGCGCGCTTTTCTGAGGCTGGGGGAGCCCTGTGGGTAAGGAGCGGCTGCGGTCGCCGAAGCCCCGGACCCCCCGAGCGGCGCTCAGGCCCGCCGGGCCCAGGCCCCGCCACTCAGCCCGGCCCCGGAGGCTACCTCCTCCTGCGAGCCCCGCTGTCCACTCTGCCCGCCCGCCCGCGCAGCTCCCGCCCAGCCCGGGCCGGGCCCGCCTCCCGCCGCGAGGAACCACCTACCGCGCGCCAGCTCCTCGGCGAAGGGCTCTTGACTACCGGCTAGGCTACCGCGTCACCAAGGAGTGGAGCGGAAAGAGCGGCTCCCCCTCACTTCCGGAGGAAGCGGAAACGGCGCCGGAAGCCAAGGGGCGGGTCACAGGAGGCGCGGTCTCACAAACTGATGGCGGCGCTGTTGCAGGCTCCCGGCCGGGTCATGCAGCTTCCGCGTCGCCAACTTTGGCGTCTCTTGCCTCGTGGACTCGGGGTTTGGGACCCGGGGGAGGGAACCGCGAGGGTTTTCCTGAGGCGATTCTGCGCGCGGCCAGAGGAGCCGTGGCGGGCCTCGGGGCTCGCTGGCCGCTACCTGAGGAGCCGGCCCCTCAGCACGGCGATGCCGCCGCCGCCGGGGTCGTCGGGACCGGAGGCGAAGGGCAGCAGAGACCCCACACGCCCCTCGCAGCCCGGGGTGAGTGCACACCTGGAGCCCTGCCTTTGCTTGTCGGGGCTGTCAGTCAGCCCTGTGCCTTCCCATCTCTTCCGGTAGTAACCTCAGAAACCGCTCGACCTGGCCTGAAGTTGTCCTCAATTCCTGTGTCCTCCTGGGTCACAGAATCTCATCCCACTTCTCCCTGAGTTTTAGTTAGCTTTGCGCCGAGAAAATAAGTTTCAGATGTTCTTAAGGACTTCCACCGTAAGTTTTCCGTGACTGAGTTAGAGTTTGGTTTTTTTTTTGTCTCAATTGACTCTCCCTTCAGAGGCTTAGTAAGTATGTTGCAATTGAGCACAATGTGGGTTGTAGTTCGTGCTGGGCATGCTTTTCCTCTTTGGTTCTAGTTCTGACCCCAAAAGAACTTAGAGCCGCTACTCTCTAGTACTAGGTAAGAGAGTTGGCTTTTGGAGCTGGGGAAAAATTAATGAGATAAGCCTAGGTAGCGGGCATTTTACTTACCGTGGGATTTGGAAGAGTACAAAAAAGTTGTTGACTGGGGGGAAAAAAAGGCCCAACCTAAAAGTTGAGAGTTATGCTTTATTTGGCAGACTTTCTGAGGACTTCAAGCCGGGGAGGCAGCCTCAGATAACTCTGAGGGACTGCTCCGAAGAGGTAAGGGAGGAGCCACGACATATAGGGAGTTTTGCAACAAAGACCAGGTAGTCAGAACATCAAAAGATTACTGTTAATTAAAACCACTGGCGGGGAGGGTATAGCTCAGTGGTAGAGTGCATGCTCATGTGTGAGGTCCTGGATTCAATCCCCAGTACCTCTGAAGAAGAAGAAAAAAAAACTAATTACCTCCCCCACCAAAAACACAAAGTAGTTAAAGGAAATCAGAGAGCCCTAGTTAATGAACTTAGCACTTTTATAAATATGGGAACATGCAAAAGTATGGGCTCATTGAAAGCATTCCATTCATATGCACTTTAGCTATCTATGGCCAGTATCCTGTTCTTTCCCATTCTGAGTCCCCTCAGGGTGCACCATTGCGGGTGGCAGCAGTGGTTGAGGGCTTGGCAGTGGGCAGCCCACTGTCTCCATCCTGAGGTCCCCTGGGCTCACTGTCTCGGGAGGCTGGAGTGGCTGATGTCTTTGCTGATATGGCAAGCAGCATTTTTCATTCACAAAGTAATGATGCAATTTGCAAAAAGTTCCACTTTTAGATCGCTTCTACTTTGGCTTTGCTACTTCCTGAAGCCTAGTTGGGTTAACCTCTCAAATTTATTTGGTTTATTTCTACGAAGTCTCAATATCAGTACAAGCAAGTAATTAACTGGTTTTAAATCAGCCATTGGGATCAGGGTCACATGTACTAACAGTCACCGTACTTGAGCTTTGGGTCATTTTTTCACTTGAAAAGAAATTGACTTAGGGAACATTTCCTTGGAAATAAGTGCCTTCATGATTGTGTTAGGAGCCCAGATGCCTCTGCAGCCACAGAAACTCTCTGTGTTTTCTCATCTCAAACATGTAACATTCTGCCCATTTAACGAGATCAGGGCCTGTGTATGGCTATATTTTAAACTAATGTAATAAATTTAGTATGCCTAAACATTTGCATCATTTTTATCTTTGAAATCTCTGCCCCAGTAGCCTGTTTCCTGGAAGTCTTTAGCCGTCACATTTGCTATTGGAGGAGCTTTACTGGCTGCAATGAAGTACTTCAAGAAAGAAAAGACAGAGAGTAAGTACATATCATCTGGTCAGCTCTGAGTCATATCCTTCCCGCCTGTGGACTAGCATCTTTCTGTTGTTGTTCTTAAGCTTTTTAATCTTGAAATAATTTTAGATTTACAGGAGAGTTGTTAAAATGACAGAATTCGCATGTATCTTTCACTTACGTTCCCCTGATGTCAACATCTTACATAACCACGGCTCATTTATCAAACTTCGAAATTAAAACTCATACAATACTACTCACTAAACTACTAACTTGACTCGGATGTCACCTGTTTTTCCATTGTCTTTTATTTGTTCAGGACAATACTGTCTAACATGAAAAGACTTAGTGTGGACAGATTTGACTGTGGGTAGTGAGAAGTCCAGGGAGTACAAAGATGACTAAGGTGCAGTCCAGCCGTTGACGTGCACATGACAGTGCAACAGACACTGAAGTAAAGGATTTCACTCGATGAAGTTCTGCCAGGCCAGAGGGAAATTCATAGTCCTCAGAGGGCCAAAGGAAGGCTCAGCGTACTGCAAACCACTGAGTATTAGCGAGGGACAGGCCAGAGGCTGTCCAAGGATGATAGAGAGAGATGGGAGAACCTGGCTGGGATGCCAGGAACTGCTCTGGATTAGCACTTGAAGTGTTTAGAAATTGCTTACAAGAACTTTATATTTTAGAGACTATTTAAGATTTGTTTTAGAAGTTTCTAGTAAGTCTTTACAAAGTAGAACTTAACGTTTTGAGTCTTTAGAGAGTCTCTTTTGATGCCATTATACAAAAGACAATGTTTAAGTCTAGGGGTGAGAATTTATAGGCTTTAGAACCTTAGGAATATAAGATCCGTATTGATATATAGACGTTATTTCTTTTGCGTAACAAGCAGTTTCACAATGAAACAAAACTGACAAACTAGGAAAGTAGTGGTACAGTTCTAGAAAACGCAAGCTTCTTTTGACTTTAGTTTGGGATTTCATCTTCAATTAATAACATTTTGTTGTGTAAGAAATTGTATTATGAAGTAGTATTTAAAAAGTGTACCCAAAGTGCCTCATCATCTCCAAATACTTTATTGTGTGTTTCAGTCATTTCCCTAAAAAGTCTTAGATCCTTTTAGTGGAGGATGATATTTAGAAGTTAGGATATGAGCTCATTGCTATTGGAGTGTGTCTGCTCCTGGGTCCTTTCAGTGGACAGAGGTAGGAAAGAGATGTCCATTTACAGCTATACTTATTCTGTTTCTATATATATTGAAACTGTAAGTTCATACTGTACCTCCCATTTTCCCCAATACCTCATGGTTCATCCTAGTTTTCTCTCTTTCCATTTTTCTAACTCCTTTTCCACTTGTAACTCTCTTATCTCAATGTATTTACTTATTTGATCAGTCCCCTGTATGTAACTAAGTTTCCATCACTGCTGTCCTCCCCGGTGCAGCTGCCCTCCTCAGCACACTCAGGCTCAGGCACCCACTGCCAGGCCGCCCTCCTCGCCCACTTGGGCTCAGACATTGTGCTCTGCCGTTCGTTCCCCCTCCCTCCCTCATTGTGGCCACACCTAATGGCTAAGGACTGAATTGTTCTGGAACAGGAAGAAATATTTTTACCGCTTTCTTTTCTTATAGTCCTTACTATATACAATAGTATTTTATTTTATTTTATTTTATTTTATTCTATTTTATTCTATTTTATTTTATTGTTGTATACTTTATTTTTTTTAAAGGTTTTTTAAGCTTCTTGAAAACTGAAGCCATTTCTTCCACATTTTGTGCCCTCACTCATTAGTATAGTATGAACCATAGATCAGGCATTTGCATATTGGTGGTTAGATTCACTTTGTTTTTTTCCTTTGGTGTTTGTCTCTGTTTAAGAGCTGGAGAAGGAACGGCAGCGAAGCATTGGAAAGCCTTTACTTGGGGGTCCATTTTCCCTCACAACTCATACTGGAGAGCCCAAAACCAATAAGGACTACCTGGGTCAATGGGTATTGATTTATTTTGGTTTCACTCATTGCCCTGATATCTGTCCAGAAGAACTAGAAAAAATGATTCAAGTCGTGGATGAAATAGGTAAGAAAGCCATCTCTTACTATAAAAAGTACATGTTGACTTGATGTCCTTAATGTTACTATGCTTTTCATATTCTTACACTACTGTTAGTTGGAGGGTTGTAATTGTTTTTTTTGTGAAAACGTAAGATCTCAGTATTAGACTTGTTAGCTGCTATGCTTCCCTGGACTTTATTCTTCACCAAAGGAAGCTTGGTTTTTGTGTGTGTGGTTTGTTTTTGTTTTTTGTTTTTAATTAATTAATTAATTTATTTATTTATTTATTTATTTATTTATTTAATGGAGGTACTGGGGATTGAACCCAGGACCTCATGCATGTTAAGCATGTGCTCTACCACTGAGTTATATCCCTCCCCACAAAGAAAGGTTGTTTTGATGCTAAATGTTTAAAAACATCAGTGTGGTCTGGGTCTCCCTTAACTCTGCTTTGTGTCCCTTCCTTTTTGTAGCCTTCCATCACTGACACTGCCATTGCCTTTTCCCCGGTGACTGATGGTTAGACTAGGAAATCTGTGGTATGGTCTATGATGTACATCCTTCCTAAAATGAATTGCTCCAGGAAATTCAGTCCTTAATAGTTTACCTCTCCTTTAAGAAATGGTGGGAGGGAATCCTGCAAACATTGGATTGGATTAGGAGACAAGATATGCACCTGATATGATTTGAGTAAC